AAAATAAAAAAACACACTTTTTGTAAATGTTCATTACTTGTTATGACCATGCGTGCTTTGAAAAATAATTGTCCAAAAACTAAAGCGCGGAGTTCAACAGCCCGACACGCCGAGTTACAAAGCAACATGCCAGAGCGTTAGGAATGACCCCACTTGATTACCAAAGTGCACAACACATCGGGTTATAATTTGGAAACCCCTCTCGTTTGTGAAGAAGAAGACAAAACATGCAGATGCAAAACCCCAGCAAGATTCAAAAAATTCAATCAACTAGCTCATACCTTGTTGGCCAAAAAAAAAATAGAAAACAATCTCCACAGACATCAAAACGACGCAGCAGCCTGCCTCCAAAGTCAATTATCATCATGTCTGCTGTCTTGTCTATTCAAGCATTTCCTTCATCCAAGGAATAGAGGAAAAACAATTGCAGAAAATGAGTTAGATCTGTTCATGTTATTAATGTTCATACCAATCAGGATAAGGGAGACAACCACTCGAGGGCTGAGCCTTGACTTCTGTTTCGGTTTTATTCTCTCGATTTCAGTTTTTTATTTTTTTTATTCTACTCTTCTGATAATTTGTCAACTTAATATCGAATATAATCTGCTTTGGTTCTCAAATGTTTCTCAACGCATGCACCCGTTTTGAGGTTTGTTTAACATCTTTTGTGAATGCATGCAAATCCTAGGACAAAAGTCTGTAGATTTTCACATGACTTTCTTTCCATTTGTTTCATTACAATTTCCAAAGAAAAATTTTATCTAAGAGCATTATATTTATTTTTTACTAATTACCATGTCTAAAAAGATTATCCTGTACTGCCTCTTGACCAAAAAGTAACAGACTTTTATGACTGTCCGTTTAACCATTCTAGACATAAATAAATTAGGTCACGATTGGCAAACTCATAACGAAAACTTTCACACTTATCAAACATATCAAAGTCGGAAATTAACCTTTTCTAACTTACAAATTAACCCATTTGATCGAGCAACCCACAGGGGTCCAAGTTCAACCGATCCATTTGTCAAGTCTACGTTTCTTGATGCCATAAGATGATTATTTGCCTAAAATCACTTAAGGCAACAATATTGTACGATAAAGGAACAAACTTTCACACAATTCTTAATTAAGGTAATGAACTCTAGTTTTCTCAAATAAGGTCACTTACGTGGAAAACTACTAGGTCTATTTATTTACAATGTCAACTCTTTTCTCCCCCTCCTAGCTACAAGGCATGTCTCGTTGACTAAGTTACTGACCTGCTTTATTTTTTCAAATAATGCCTAAATCCTACATGGACATATGTCTGGAGGAGAAGTCTTGCACAATGTAGGTCTCCCTCGTACCGTCTATTTTAAAAAAGGAAAATGATATTATATAGTATGAAATTACATATTTACCTCTATTTCATTAGTGAAGGTTTCGTATCGTAACCACGCTATGTTTCTAAAAGGTTTAGGCCGTC